CTGTACTCCATCCCCCCATGGTTGCCTTATTTGACATATATTGTCGGGAAACCCTCGAAAGCATGTGTTGTCGCCCCGATGAAATATTCTTAGACTAGGTCCCTTGTGTTAGTTATTTTAGGGACATAAAATGAGAATAACGGGAATGGGTAATTGGGTTATTGTTGGTTGATGAAAATTAATTTAATTATTTATTGTGGGTTGAAAACCCTATATGCTCACCAGGCTCCCAAGCCTGACCCACTCAGTTTCTTTGTATTACAGGAAGTGGCGCGAGGGCATAAGATGGATAATCATTAAGTTGTTTTGTTTACAAGTCTGTATATGTATATATTTGTTGAATGACTTGTAATGTTATCGTTTATGCTTTATGGTCTGTATCGGAACATGACATCCCGAGTTTTGATTATATAATGAAAATACATTTCTTTATGAAATGCTTTGGTAAATATTATTTTATCATGTTTTGTTTTTGGGAACAAATTCCGCATCTCTTTTAAAATCAAAAGGATTTACTTTGAAAATTTTTAAAAAGCATAAATGAAACCGGTCTTTTCTGGCCGAGATTTTGGGGATGTCACAGTTACGAAGAAAGCTTCGAGCTCATATTGGTCATGGGTTGAGAACGGGAATGGAACTCTATGAAATCGAATCTCCCGTTCTTACTCAGTAGCTCAGTAGTAGAGCGATCGGCTGTTAACCGATTGGTCGTAGGTTTGAATCCTACTTGAGGAGATTTGTAAATCACCGTCAACACCTTGGTGTAGTCCTGGGATACTCCTTCGTTCCATAGCCCTGGGGCTATTTACAACTATCCAATTAATAATTCTCAGATGTACTAGTACTAGCAGTGCATCAAAGATGCAATCATCGATTCTCCCGGGAGGCTACAATTGTCGCGAGCAAACGTATTAATGACGAGGAACACTTTTTTGTTATACTACTAATTATTCTATAGCAAAAGAAGCATTCTTTTACACAAGGTGTTTGTGTGAACCATCTAAAGGCATGGATGTAGTCAAAGTTGTAATAACAACTAGTCCTATAGTCACCACCTTCAAAATCAAAGACCTTGTGGCTTACGCCAACCTCCTTGTATCTGCTTACACTGAAGAACAAAATACTTCCGTCGGATAAAGTTGTACTGATTCCATCGTCAATCGAACCAGGGCACACGGTTCTTGTCCACTTCCCCTTTACTTTTGGCCGACGATGAAGAACCCACCCACCTTCGCCAGCAATAAAGGGTGAAATATCATGGAGGTTGAGTGACTTTAGAAGAGAGGTTAAGGTAGACATGTCTTTCAATGATGGTGGTCGATATGAGGAGGGGGTAATATAGAGACGATGGTGGAGGAGGGGATGACAGTGGTTGGTGCAATGATGATGATGACGACAATGATGATGCTTCTCCAACGAGAGTAGTTTAGGTTTAGGAGGAAAATGATCTGTCAAGGATGAAGCACCTCAAAGGGACGAAGGATGAAGGGGACAAGGTTAAGGCAAAGGCTTATGTCATTTTCTTTTAATGATGTACAATTTAAAAAAATTAACTTGAAGATATAATGAAGGACAACAATTATTTGGACACATTTAAGAGAGTTAAACTAACGAATGCTAACCGTAAGGACCAAAATCATATTGAAACCTTCAAATAAAGACCATTTGAACAAGTCAAAACTATTTTGGACATTATCTAAAGAAAAATGCAAGCCACATGACTATATATATATATATATATATATATATATATATATAATTTTATTGAATAATACTTTTTAGAATATTCACTAAAATATTTTTTAATTATTATTTATATATTTTTCGATGACGAAAATTAATATCATGTAACTTTTTATTTTCTTATTTTTGGACCCCAAAATATGCCATCAGAAATACATCTTAATGTCTTATAAAAATATTCTTTGATCAAATGAACCATTTTAATTCATCAAAAACATTACAATTTACACACGATCTTCTTTTTTGCTATTTATTCCACTTTTTTGCTATTTATTCCAAGTTCCAACTCCAAAAATCAATATGCTTGCTTTCAAAGCCAGTCACGTTTTTATTTTCCAAATGATTAGTAATGTGCAATAATGTCATCTAATAGCAGAAACATCGTTGGCCTAAAAAAGACAATGAGTAAATGATAGTGAGTACGGGCATTTAATATATTTTCCTCACACGTATTCATAAATTTGGTTGAAAAATATGGTTGGTTTAAGTAATGTTTTAAAGTCGCTCCTTGTATGGTTGATTAATGTTTTAAAGTAGGTGCTGCTAATAAGACACCCTTAGACACCTTATAATCATTTTTATAAAAAGTCAACCTATAATCAACTTCTTGTAATCATTTTTTTTGGAAAACAATGCAATTTCAACCAATAAAAATATTTCAAACATTAATTAGGGTTGTCTAAATAGTAAAATAGGGTGTCTTATTAGCCAACCCCTTTAAAGTATCTCCTATCAAATTGTTTATGCCTTTTTTCTAGGAAAAACAAACTCATTAACGGGCTTGAAACTACAGCCCAATCAAGACCATAGTCCGTATAATTTATGGGAAATCGAGTAATTTTTTTTTGTTTATTTAGAAAAATAATCATTATAAATTTGTTTTTGAAAAATCGTTTTTGGAATGGACAGTATCAGAGGCTAGTTCGAAGTGTGTGTTTGGCTCGGCCCATCAACTACATTCTGGAATACCTATTCCGAACTAATCCGACTTGTTTCGGATCTTGATTTAAAAAACCGAATTACGGATTTATTCCGACACATTCCAGAAAAGTATCTACAAACCCATTCGGACAGATTCTGACCACTACTACACATTTCATAGTTAAACATCAAAGCAGATATAGTACATGATCTTGATGATCTGGTCGTTTTACGGCTAAATCATTTATTCTTACACTTTTGATAGTTTGATTTTAAGTTTTTTGTTTTAGTAACTTAGTCTGGAACATGAAGAGCATGTCTGGAATGCACAAAACATGTTCCAAACTTGCTATAGATGTTTACATTGGATTCAGGACCAACTCGAAAGTAGTTTACTTGTTTATATTAGGCTAGTATACGTCAAGAACTTGTATTCTAGAATAAAGAAACCATTTTGGAAGGTCCGTACTGCAAGGAATTGTCCGGAACACGGAGAACAAGTCCGGAATGTGAAGAACTGGTCTGAAATGTTCATCACATTTTGTTCTAGAACACCATTTAAATTTATGAATTACCTTAAAATTAATTTGTTTGTATTTATTTGCAACATGATAAGATTTTTGAAGCATCACTTACACTAACTTGCAACCCGTAATTGACGTGGATATTCTTGCGACACTCAAAGACAAACTGTCACGCGAGACTATGTTCTAAAAGACCTATTTTGGGAGGTGGTTAGATATTCCTTTCAGGGGTAGAAGAAAATCCTTTACTTTTACATTACGTGTTTACCACGAACTTATGACGAACCCTCGAAGCAAAGTCGAAGAAATGGTTTTTGATAATAGAGGTATGAGCTATCTTTTTGGAATAAATACTTCTGCCTCCTCACCGGCTTCCACTTTGGTAAATATTTTTTTGCTTTCGTTTTCGACGTTGCCTTTTGATCCCATGTATTTCATGTGATTAAGAAGAATGTCTTTGTGAAATTAAAACAACTGGTTGATGTGTTTGACAATTCGCTTAATGACTTATCAGATGAGGATGTGGTTTGTATATATCTTCTATATCTATTAGAAAAGGATTCCAATGGGCGGTTGTCTCGTCAGCCTGTAACATAGACAAATTTCGTTTTGCTATCCAACCTTGATGTATTCAACATGTATCATGTCGTTAATTTATACTTATCAATACTAGTATTTTTTACAAATTTATTGTGAAATTTGTTACGTCGCATATATCCATGAGAGGATAATTAGCATCAATTGTACCCTCAGCTATGTACTGTGTTCAATAAGGTTGATAAACTTATATATCCAGTGCAACCAAAACGTACAAAACCTCAAAAATTGACGTACATCGTAAACATTAGCAATTAAATATTTTTTTGCTTGCTAACATTATAATACATGATTCTTTCAGATATTAATTCTTGAGAGTTTTTCTGTAAACAATTTGTTTGGTACCCAACAACAAAATGTAATTCCTTAAGCATTGGATGATCGAAACTGAAAAAGATGCATGTGGATCAATGCAATTTGTTTGAAGCGTAATTAATGAAAAACTATTGGTAATTTGTTTGAAACGTAACTAGAGTTTGACAAGTATAAAAAAAAATGCTCTTGATAAAAATTTCACTTTTAAGTTGCAACAAATATGATAAAACCAAGTAACTATCTATATCTTGAAATTTTTTAAAAGGCTTAGAAAGAGCAAATTTTGACGATTTTAGTTCAAATATAAAACTTGGATTCTCTCGTATAATAATAAAACATCGGTAAAATGAAAACGAATTTTAAATCACATGCTCTATAAAAATACACCATAAATATTTTTTCACTTCGAAAAATACCAACTTTTGGCATTAAAGTAGTATGAGCAACAAAATCAAAAAACAGAAAATGTTGAGAGTGGGATTTGAACCCACGCCCTTTCGGACCAGAACCTTAATCTGGCGCCTTAGACCAACTCGGCCATCTCAACTCATGCCTCGAATGACAAAACATTTTATTTTTGAAGTATTAAATTCAAACATCAGGTCTATAATTAAAATATATTATCTCAAAATCCCCAACAAAAAAAGTTGAGATGGCCGAGTTGGTCTAAGGCGCCAGATTAAGGTTCTGGTCCGAAAGGGCGTGGGTTCAAATCCCACTCTCAACAAACATTATCATTTTTTTTATTCTTTTCCCATTTAAAACAAAATCAAACTATTTTGAGATTTTCTATCTTTCTTCAGCTACTCAGTTGTATTGGTTCGAAAAAAAAAAAATTAAAGGTTAAAAATGTAAAAACACATCCTTTACAACACACGTGACTAACAAGCTTGATTGAATCTATGTGTGTAATTTTAGTTGGTTCTCACTTGAATACGAATCATCACCCACTCCCAGCAGCAGCAACGGGTACCCATCAAATCCCTCCCTGTAACTGTAACTGTAACCACTGCTTATAAAATCATTTTCCTTTTCATCCTCAGAATGAATAAAGCGTATCAACTCTTTCTTAACAGGTAATGCCGATTCAGATTCTAACAAAAACCTAAAAGATTCTTGTTTCTCATTCAGCCACCATCTATCGTTCTTTATGCTGCAATCTTCTACTCGCATAACATCTTTTGGAGTGTATGGTAATTCTATGACTGATGATGATGATGATGACACAAAATGGTCTTCTTTTAGGTGTCTCTCAACAGGCATCATGCAAAGTTGGTTTTCATCACCATCATCATCATCATCATCATCTTGTGAGCTTGAAAGCTTGTTCATCTCTCTCTGAAATTCATCTCTCTCACTCTTCTCCTCCCAACCTAACAACAAAGGCACTGGCTTTTCCAACAGTGTAGGATCATTATCAAAACAAAACTCCTCAACATCTTTCAAGTTATCAGATTCCACACCCAAGTATGGAATTCTGAAGCTCTGATCATACCAAATACTAGATTTTGAGCTTGTAGGATTCCATTCCAATGATGATATATGCCCAGACTTAATCCATTTTGTTTTGTAAGCTTCTGAATGATAGTGATCATATTGAAAACCAGATTTTGGAGCAAAAGAAAATTCCAAATCATTATCATGATTCCATTCCAGGTGTCGTCTCTCTGATGATGATGGAAAATCATCATCTAAGTATGACATATGGTGAGACAGAGACTTGATGGGTTGTCTTTTGTTTGCTTCATGACACTTCATTAATGACACATAAGAAGAAGGCAGTTTGTATTTCGAGTTGGTTTCATCTTGACACTGACAAAAATCAAAATACATCAACTTTTTAGCTAATCGAAAAATAGAATATTTTCGTCTATTATTAAGAATAAGATAAAAGATATTACATTCTTCTCATGGTCTTTTGGGAGTATCCTACTGATGAGAGCTGAAACTAAATCAATCCTGAGAAAAATAGCTAGTAATCAGATATAAAGGTCATTGATAATGATGAAGAAGAGTAAGATTGTTGTTGATGAATTGAATCTAATTATAATCTAACCCCTTTGAAGAGAGTTCACTGACATTAGCATATTCATTTAATGATATATCTGCAACCCTGCAGCGTAACTTCTCCCTCTTCATAGAAAACACTCCTTTATTCCCTGCATGTTATGATCATATAATTGAAAGAGCATATGAATTTTGTTTATTTGTTACTCTTTCTGTCATATAAATAAATAAAATTTCCTTGATCTCATTGGTTAATAAGTGGGGTTACCCGAGGTTTTTACTGGAGGAGATAGCTGCTTATACTCCTGAGGTGTAACAACCTTTAGAACATTTGCACCACTGGCTTCAAGTAGTTTATTAACATCTGCATCAGATTATGATTTAATTTCAATGATTAAAACTAATGCTTAATCATTTGATGAGGCATGTCTTGTCACATTTTCTCACCTGAGTTCTTTGATCCACAAAATGGGGGTGAAAGAAAGGAATAGTGGGCATCATCCAGTTCTTTCTCAACAGGAAATGAAGATCTGGTGTATTTAACACTCTCTTTTTGCATATTAGGGATCTCTGCAAACATAACTTCTTATAAGATGGAAAGTTGTAACACCATGTCTAATTTGTCCCTGATACCAGAAAGGTAAAAGTAAGAACCTTCTATTGTGGAATGATCACTCTGTTGCACATTTTTTACTTGATTATCATGAGATTTCGGATGTACATGTATGTTGCTAGAAGTAGTCTGCTTAATTTTCTTGAAGAATGCATACTCGGAAGTTTTTGCTGCAAAATATCCACAGCAACCTAAAGACAGAAAGTAATTACCATCAGGTACTCATACCCTCCATCTGTGAGAAATGTGGAAGGATAGAATAAGCCATGAATTTATAATGATTAATACAGATTCTTAGTTAATTCTGCCACATTCCAGAGCTATGATTCATTGTCCATTGGAACGAACACAAAAAATAAATACTTATACATAACTTAAATGGTTCCCTAAATCCAGAAGAAAAAAACACTACATTTAGATATTTATACAAACTACTTATAGCATAAGAAGCAGAAATGTAACTAAATTCTAGAATGAAAAGGTAACGGAATTTGTCAATTGAAATGGTTAAGTTTTGTAGAAGATTCTAACTTACGTCTGGGATCCTCCGCAACTTCACATCGATTGGAAGAAGAGCTTCGTCTTATATTAGGGAGATCATCAGCTTCAGTGTCATCAACTTTCATTCTTTTTACCTTCTTTATTCCTATCACCAAACAACAATCTCCTCTATCAATACTTAAAAACTCGAAACGAAGGTGTTGATCAGCTCTTCCATACCTTACAGCATAAACATGTCACAAAATCGAAAAACACGATTCTTGTCGCTAATCTTTTCCAACGCAATACATATTTAAAGGATGTATTCCATGTAAAAAGATCATATAAAGGAAGCAGAAAACATCTCGAACTGATTTCGACTTTTACCAAATTACCTTCAGTTCCATGAGGATTTGCATGGCTAAATTGATGGTTAAAGCGACGATCTCCAATGATATCTCTTATTGAATAACTCCTGATGCTATGTCGCGAAGTCTCTCTAGGGTTAGGTTTGAATTTCTTGGTGTTCTGACGCATCGTTGCTTTGAGATTTAGGATGCAAAAACCCTGATTTCAATGTTTGAACCACAAAGGCCAATTAGGCGCCAAATTGGGAACGGTTCTACGTGATGGCAACTTTAATCGTTGAACTTTTATTTGAGTACCAATTATGCCCTTTCACTTTTTATATTGGGCAAATTAAGTATTTAAATAATAAAATAATTATCATATCCTTATTATCTATATTTATACTAAACGAGGCAAAATTACTTACACTAATTTTTTTTTTTTTTTTTTCAAATTTCTAAAAAACTCTCATTGTCTTTCAATGTTAATAATAATTAGTTAATATAAAATAAATACAAAAAATATTATACCTAAATTTTAATCTTCTATAAATTTTTGATAAAAACAAACAATTTTAAATTAATTGATAATAATATTTTATAATAACATAAAATTATAAATTATATTATATTGTAAACATTGATATTTTATATAATAAGCTACAATTTTTTCCAAATAGTCAAATAAGTAATTTTTAAATCAGTTAATCATAATACAAATTTAAAAAAATAGTTAGATAAGTAACTTTTAAATCACTTAATCATAACAAAAGTTAAAACTAACACCAAATTAAGAATTATATTTAATTTTATTTATGAGTAGATGCCATTAAGTTATTTTATTTTTATAGATGTTCATTTTATCAAATCGTTCAAATTAAATAGACAAATTCACAAATCAAAATAGTATAAATATTATTATTTTATAGTTAGTGTCAATAACATAATATGTATCATCCTAGTTGGAAATTAAATAAACAAGATTAAATAAGCTAAATAAATGAATGAACCTCGGGATAAGAAATATATTTTTTATATTATGTTAGGCATGAGAGTTAATGGTCATAATTTTTGGAATTGAGGGGGGGTTAAGTGTAAATTTTGGAGCCACTTTGTAAAGATTTCTGAGGCTAAGGGCTAAAGTGTAAAATCTGGATTTAGATTGTGATGTTTAGTGAAGGAGGGGGTGTTTATGCTAAAACGAAATGAAGTTTCATTTTGGATTTGGGGTTAAGGTTCCCGCTTTCCCTCTCGTTGCACCTTCTAACCCTAAACCTAATGTGATGCAGTAGCCGCCACCACCATGTGAACCCTCTTCAGCCGCCACCACCATAACGCCTGCTGCCTCGCCGTTGACCGCCACCCTTCCATCTGTTGCGTCGTCATCGAAACGTCACCACCACGCCTTGCTGCCGGATGTCATGGGTAACCGGAGAACCATCGAGGGAGTTCGAAGCCATGCTCGTTATGTGTGGGTCATGCGCGACTAGGAAGCCGTCGGTAAGGTTAATCGCCTCTCTCTTTTCCTCTCCGTCGTCCCTCTCACTGTTTGATGTCGTGAACGCCATTGCCGTTGTTGGTGGCTTTTTGGCTGTTGTGGCTATCATTTCCGGCGACGCCAGCTGTATAAGAAGTGGTCGGACGTTATGTGTTCGAGTAATTACACGTTTTCATTGTGTTCTTGGGGTTTGTTTGCGTATTCTCTAGCCGGAAAACCAAGGAAACCCGCCACCACCACCGTGAGGTGGTGGCTACCATCGTTTTCTACCGCCACCAGTCACCATGAAGGGTGGATGTGTGTGAGCATGTATTTTATGGGTGCGAAGTCATGTATGCAATTTTGGTCGGAACCACCATCACCACTATTGAAAATGTCACCTACCGTAGTGAGCCGCTGTCGACCACCACTGCCCGAGGTGGCAGTGGGTGGTGCCCGACCTAGTGGAACCTTAATGGACCTAAAAACTTAATCGGGGACTTGGTTGTCCCGTGATTGGGTTAGAAACCCTAATTAGGGTTTAGAAAACCCTAATTTTGGGTTTGTTGGCTTGGACCTATCAGGACCCGCGTTATGGGCCATTGGAATTGGAATATGAGTTATGCCCAAATTACACAATATGATTGACCTAGTAGATTGATGGACTTAATGGATTATGTCCTTAATGGGTTAAGTGTTTCTAATTAACCCTAATCGTCATTTCATGTGGAAACCCTAATTGTGTTGGGTTTTGAGTTGGACCTTTCTGTTGGGCCTAGATGTCTGGACTCTTGATGGGCTAATTATTAACAAGTATATGGACTAGAATATTTGGATTGGGCTTAATGATAAGGCCCATTGGATAGGATTGGGCCCAATTAGCAAAATTGGGCCATAACTGGGCCTTGATGATTATGAGATATTGGACCATCAGAATGCCAAGTCTTGGACCAAGAATAAATGGTTGGGCCTTAAGGTAAGACCATGCGAGGAGTTTGGGCCCAATTTGGAAAATTGGGCCATATGTTAGGCCTTGGTTGACTATTTGACTTTGGGCCTTCAGAGTATGAGTTTGGGCCTTAATGTTAGACCAAGCTAGGTTAGAGGTAGAATTATCCTTTTACCCTAAGTGAGAATTTTAGAGTTATGCTTAGGAATCCCAAATGGTTAAGTGGGTTTTGTTTGATTTTGGCAGCTTGGGGATATGTCAGCCAACAGCTCGAGATTTATTCGTGGAACTTCAGCAGTGCGAGGTGAGTTTTCCTTCAGTAGGAACAGGTCTAAGGTACTAAGGCCGACACATATCTCATTATTGTCAGAGTACAGATATCAGTCAGATTGTTAGATTGCTATGCTTGTTATCTGTGTGATACTTGTATGTGTTGTTTATGAGTGTGGGCGGGGACCATATCTCATTATTATTAGAGTGTGGGCGGGGCCCAAATCTCATAGTAGTTGCGGGGACCGAATCTCGTAGTATTATTTGAGTATAGATATGTGACTGTTTGATAGGAGGAAATATACTTGTCATCTGTGTGATACCTGTATACATGTTAGTAGCGGAGTGTGGGTGGGGACCGGATCTCCTAGACACCGGAGTGTGGGCGGCGCCCGAATCTCCTAGACAACGGAGTGTGGGCGGGGCCCGAATCTCCTAGATAGTGGAGTATGGGTGGGGCCCGAATCTCGATGAGAGTGGGCGGGGGCTGTATCTCCTAGTTGCATATTATGTGTATGGTATGTGGTAGTTTGGGGAGACTCACTAAACTTCGTGCTTACAGTTTTCAGTTTTAGTTTCAGGTACTTCGATGTTCAAAAGAGGAGCTCGGGATGATTGCAGTCACACGCCATTTGTTATAACCTGGGATGTTTTTACTTTGATATAATTGACAGATGTTTATAATATTTCAAGATACGCTACTTATGTTTTTATATGATGTTTAATATTATGGTTTTCTTAATGATTTAAAATGAAATTTTTGGATTGTATTTTTGGGATGTTTTAAGTTGGTATCAGAGCCTTGGTTTGAGGGATTTGGGCACACTCTCGGGTGTGTCTGAACTCAAACTAAGGAATTGGTATAAAATTTTCAAAAGAAAATCATTTTTAGAAAAGAAAAAGAATTTTGAAAAGAGAAAAGAACTTTGAAAAGAGAAAAATGTGTGGTGCATGCAATCAGCCGAGCTCAAGTAAGTACTCCCAGATTACCCATACAAGTTTATGTTATGATATGTTATAAGATATGCATGCTAGAGTAGGACTACGGATCTAGGAAGGATGCCTTATGTGTCTGTTATGTGTATTCAACTTATTGAGAACTGCATGATAGAGTATGGATAAGGATCTAGGAAAGATGCCTTATGTGCCTGTTATGTGTAATCATCTTGTTGAGAACTGCATGCTAGAGTAGGACTAAGGATCTAGGAAGGATGGAAAGCTGCAGCCTGGTTATGGAGGAGGATGTGGAGAAGGTCAGGGTTAGGGAGGAGGACATGGAGAAGACCGCATTTCGGACTCATTATGGACATTACGAGTTTGTGGTGATACCGCTTGGGCTCACCAATGTGCCGCCAATATTTATGGACCTGATAAATTGGGTATGCAGACCGATGCTCAATCACTCAGTCCTTGTGTTTATAGATGACATCATGGTGTATTCCAAGACTAGGGAGCAACGTGAGGAGCATGTTTGTGAGCTATTGGGAGTTTTGAGATGAGAGCGGCTTTATGTGAAGTTCTCGAAATGTAAGTTTTGGTTGCGTAAGGTTCAGTTCCTTTGACATATCGTTCACCAGGAGGGGATTTTGGTCGATCCGGCTAAGATCGAGGCGGTTATGCAGTGGGAGGTTCTGAAAACTCCCTTGGATATCAGGAGTTTCTTGGGATTGGCAGGGTACTACGGGAGATTCATATAGGATTTCTACAAGATTGCAGTACCCCTCACTCATTTGACGAGGAAGGGGGTGAATTTTTTGTGGGGCACTGAGCTATAGACTTCCTTTGAGACATTGCGACAACAACTCCGCGAGGTGCCGATTTTGACACTCGCCGATGTAGTTAAGGATTTCGTGGTATTCTGTAATGCATCAATTACCAGATCTGGAGCAGTCTTTATGCAGAGAGGACGAATGATAGCCTATGCATCGCGACAGCTGAAGCCACATGAGACGAGATATCACACACACAATTTGGAGCTAGGAACGGTGGTATTCACTCTCAAGATTTGGAGACATTATTTCTATGGGGTTTGTTGTACCATATACACGGACCCCAAGAGTTTGAGACACATCATGGATTAGCCGAACTTGAACATGAGGCAACATAGGTGGCTGGACATAGTCAAGGACTATGAATGTGAGATCCTTTACCATCCAGGTAAAGTGAATGTGCTTGCGGATGCCCTGAGCCGCAAATCGGCTGGATATTTTGTTCCCACGACATGTATAAGGATATCATTGGATTCTCCATTGGTGGGATTGATCAGGGAGGCCTGGGCTGAGGGTGTACATCAGGAGAACTAGAAGTTGGAGAGGATTAGAGGCGATATCACCGGGTTTGTACAGGATAGTTGGGGATTGCTGACCCGATGCAGTCGGGTATGGGTTCTAATGTCTGGTGGGGTCAGACAGATTGTACTAGAGTAGGCTCATAAGTCTCATTTCTCCATTCACCCAGGGGCCACCAAGATGTATCGAGATCTGAGTTTTAGTTACCGGTGGTCGTGCATGAAGAGAGAGATCGTGTTATACGTTGAGAGGTGCTTGACCTGCAGGACGGTTAAGGCCGAGCA